TTGCTATTTTGTGTTTATATACGTTGGATTTTGAAGGGGTGGAGAAGGATGTCGGTATAGACATCACATTACATTCCACACATCAAATATTTTTCACATAGTCTAATTTCCCAACAATTCAGTTTTCCTTTTCCTATTTATCCCTTTCTATATAATCCTGAAAGGTTAATCTGGCCGAACCATTACCAACACATTTTTTCCCTTCGTCGGCTTCTTTGAGCTGCCTTTTACAAAAATGTCTTTTCTATACCGACATCCTTGCCCACCCCTTCAAAATCTCACTGGCACTCTCGACACGACACGCAAGAATGGCAAAATTACACAGAAGACAAACACTTTGAGTGAGTAGAAATACTTTGATTGAATATATAAAAAATATATTTTGCATTGTATAAATTCACTTTTCCACATCCAAAATGTAATTGTAATATGTAAACAATGTTCGTAAATCCCAGGCCTGAAGATGATCTCAATAAAGATCGAAACGTTGGCACGATAAAGAAAATGTTTTTCTGAAACGTACATCACACCAGACCGCATCTCACGATTTCTAAATAAATATCGATTAACGGTCACTAATCATCACACGCTGTTTATAATGTTCTCTGTTAACTAACACATCTGTGCAAATGTTAGGCATACTGTTAATAAAGTCACTAATTTCATAAGGAACTCTGCAGCTGCACTCAGTGACACCATCCGGTGATCGAAAAGCCTTCTCTGCAACGCATCCCACATCTTCTCTATGGGATTGAGGTCTGGATGCAATGGGGGAAAGGGCAGATGGTATATTCCCAGGTTTTCTAAACATCAATGAACAACTCTGCCTGTATGAGATCTGGCATTGTCCTTCAGAAATCCAAAATACCGACCAATGAGATCCCTGGTTTGAGGGATGTATTCCTCGATACTTAGACATGCGTACGGACTGCGGTGTGGTTGCCTTCAACAATATGGAGTACAGTTCGTTCTCCAGTGTAAATCCCAGCCCAGGCCATCACCCTGCCTCTTGAAGATGAAGGGAGCACGAACGGGGTACGCAACCCCAGTTCTCGGTAGACTCTTCGACGCCTAATAACACTATACTGGTACAAACGCGACTCACCAGTAGGCATAACAGCATTCCAATTGGTGTTGTGTTCTAGGCGCTCGCTGCACCATATTCTCCTGAGGCTGGTGACGGGCTGTTGCTGTAGGTCGTCTCAAAGGGCCATACGATATGATACAAACTTCTCAGCCTAGCCTTGCCAAAATATCTTGTACTTCATTTAGGATCTGGCGGGCGTTATGGAAAAGGTTCCGTCTTGCAGCAACGACAATATTTTTGTCCTCCCTTAGCGTCGAAATAAGCTGAGATTCACTACCAGGCCTCCTCTTGCCTCTTCCTAAAGCACACGAGACCAAGCTCTGAGAAACGTCAACTGCCTCTGCGATATCCACTTGCCGGTTACTTCGATGACTCATTCTCACAGTACTACTGCGAACTTCTGGTTAAATATGATGTCTTTCCATGGTTAAAGAGAATACAATTGGATTAAAATGGAGAAAAGATTAGAAAAGGTGTTTGTTTACAAAATGAGTAATCTCAGTGTTTTTCATGTTTACTCTACTTAAGTAAATCCGTTATTAAAAATGAAGATTAACATTTGTTTATTTTTGGTTTGTGTTTTCTATTTTGTTTTTGAAGTTTGAATAACAATAAATTACAAACATCCCTATTGAACTTTGAACAGTATAGAATCCATCAATTCTAGTAAAGGAAACGATGGTCATAGCACCAAATACACTACACGAAAACTGTGACAAAGAATACGCGCAACATGCAAACAACGACAAACGACGACACAACAAAACTACTTTAAATTCAACGGACAAGTATACACACCAACAAACAGACTAGGGATGGGTTCAGCCATACATGCAGAAGTAAACATTTTGATGACCAAGTAAGCAATAGACTTCTTCGAAATTAAGCAAAACATATCACACGCATATACATATACATAGTCGATATACACGTAATAGTAAGCAACAAAAGCATAAACACCAGGCACAATTGCACATAAACTTACCAGGCTTAACAGTCACAAAAACAGACGACAGACTAAAATTTGGCAGAAAACAGACACCAACTGACAACAAGCCGACTCAAACTACCCCCAGCGACACAAAATGGCAGCATGTAGACAGACAGACTAAAATCAAGCTCGACGGAAAACCTGTCACAACCAAAACTGAAGGGAGAAGGTATAGACTAGGCAGACGCAACCACCATCTCGAATCACCCCAAATGAGCGCCAAATCGCCTATAATTTCACTCTCGCGATACACGGCGCAGAGCGAGAGTTGATAAGAGAAGCTTTATTTTTTATTAAAATTTAAAATTGTATTTGATATATTTGTGACAAACAAGGCAACTTTGAAGGATTTTGTATGAAATTAAACCGTAGAAATGGTAAATACCACTAACGCGATTGACACATGAAGCCCTCCGGTAACCAAAAAGGATTTCCATTCGGTACCTAGAAAGTCTGTGTAGGACATCCATGAGAAATCGATATGAATTCTAATTCCACAAATTATTTGAGGGCGTTTTCATCGACCGGATATTAATGGGACCGATGATGGTTGGGTTAATGGTTTATTTCCAGGAATGGGCAATTTTCTCCCGGTGGGATTCGCTGCGCTGGAATTAATACAGTTGTTTCTTGCAAAAAAAAATCAATAACGAACGCCGGGGTGGAACGAATTACAGGAACCCATTAAAGCCAGTTCCAATTTATCAGCATTATTTTTTTACGTGTAGTATTTAGTGACCGTTAATTAATGATTATTTAGAGATCGTGAGATGCGGTCTGGTGTGATGTAGGTTTAGAAACACATTTCCTTTATCCTCCTAACGTTTCGATCTTTATCCAGATCATCTTCAGTGCCTGGGATTTATAAACATTGTTTATATTATACAAATAGATGTAAAAAAATGTCTATGAATTTACACAACATGATTTCAGAAGCTAAAATCATTATTTCAAGTCCAGGAAATAACCATTGGGACGTTTTCCTGCCGGCTCTTTAAGAAATTCGACTGACAGAAAGGGCTTTACCAAGAGAAAACATAAACATAATTGTTTGTTTACCTTTTTATTCAAACATAGAATATTACATAACTCACCGAACCCTAAAAACCTATGTATATGTCTCTCTCTCCTTCAAAATCAAACACATATGCACAAGAAAACATTCATATTTCACAACCACAACACGACACACAACCGTGACACGTCAAAACAGAAAACAAACCCTTTGAGTGAGTACAAACACCTTGATTAAACATAAACTTTCTGTATTACATACATTGTATTCATTTTGACATCTTACATTGCGTTTGTACAATTTAAACAATGTTTATAAATTCTTGGCCCTAAAGATGATCTCAATAAAGATCGAAACGTTGGCACGATAAAGGAAATGTTTTTCTAAATCATTTATGTTTAATGGTCTAATTGACAATTTGAATTATTTCAATTAATTGTTATTTTTACGTAAGGCCTTGGTTGAGATTAAAAAGTTAGTGTCAAAAACGGGATTCGAACCCACGACCTTCGGCTTTGAAAAATGGCAAGAAGAGGGAAAATTTAAAAGGGTTATGGGTTGAGGTAAGGAGTTAGAGTCCGAGTGGATCGAGTCAAGTGATTAGAGCAACGGTGTATTTAGCCGTAGGTCGTGGGTTCGAATCCTGTTCTTGACACTAACTTTTCAACTCAACCAAAGCCTTACATAAAAAGAATAAATTGTTTTTCCAAACATACATCACATCAGACCGCATCTCACAATCTCGAAATAATCATTATTTTTTTATCACAACGTTTTTCTCGGTGGGAATAATTTAAATTCAAGGGACGAAAATGAGACATTTCCTCTTCGTTCTGTCATCATGGATTATACATTTATTCGTTTAAAACTCTTGAAATGAATCAATTGACCAATAAAAACTGTCGTCGATCATAGGCATAAAATGTCGACAATTGATATACATCACATCTGTGTGGTGATTAGTGACCGTTAATCGATATTTATTTAGAAATCGTGAGATGCCATCACGCACTCTCGACACGTCACGCAAGAATGGCACAATTACACAGAAGACAAATACTTTGAGCCCTGAAGATGATATCAATAAAGATCGAAACGTTGGCACGATAAAGAAAATGTTTTTCTGAAACTTACATCACACCAGACCGCATCTCACGATTTCTAAATAAATACATCACATTGATCACATCAGAATAAGCTGATGATGGGTCTGAGAGTCGATGAACTCATGTTGAACCGGTACAGGGTTTTTTTTAGCTATTCAAAAGCGTTTCGGCATTGCGCCATCATCAGTGAAGTTCCCCACTTTTGTGTTGATTGTTGAAGTTTGAATAACTAAAAAAAAACGCGAGTGGAGACATACCCAGAAGTGACCCTGTGCCGGTTCAACGTGACATCAGAATACTACTACTACTACTATAAGTCTTTATTGTTTAATATATATACAAAGTTTACGGATCGGCATTATATATTACAAAGCAAAAAAGACATTCCTCATGGTTTAAAACCGTCTGAGGGAGTCTAGCACATAAACTTATATAACTAAAATCTCTCTTATTTACAATAATCATAATTAGTATTTACAAAAGGAATACAAACTTTCTTCAAAATTTCAGTAATGTAATAATACAACATAATTGTAAAATAATAGCTGAAACATGATTTCAAATAAATACATCTTTTTTTTTTTTTACCTATAACATACATAACTCAATAATAAAATACACTAAAGTAAAGTAAATGGAAATAATAAAAGTAAAAATAAATAATAATGAAGTATATTATCTACCACAAGAGGTAATAGTAAAAAACAAAACTAATAATAAGTGTTTAAAATGTAATATTAAGGTCGAAGATGAGCTTTTCACCTATTCAGGGGAATCCAACAAAAGAAGCCGCCTCCACCCTCACCAGGTGCCTCTGATTCTAGCTCTAAGAGAATAAGCTTCTTTGCAGAAATTTACCAATACAGCCCAATCCTTGCCATTAATATATTCTAGCAGCATCTCACTAGGCAGGGTTTCCCTATCAAAATAGTGTTTCCTGACAGCGTTCAGTGCTGGGCAAGTTGCCAAGAAATGGAACAAATCCTCCGGCTCTGTACCACTACAAAGTTCACAGTTAATATCCTGCTGCTTGAAGTGTTTGTAGTTTAAGTTAAACAGATCCCCTCGACATTTAATTATCCACCGCATGCTATCTAAGGGTAGCGAGAGATCCATTAGATAATTTGGGGATTTGAAAAGAAGCTCTCTATGGAGTGGGAAACTGTCCGAATTGGCCAAAGTTGTGTAATATTGCCTCTTTATATTGTCACAAATGGACCGTCTAACTAGTCTCAAACCATCCCTCCACAGTTCAACTCTGTCGATATTGTTCCGATTTAAGGACAGGTCTAAATTAAATTGCAAGATATGCCTTTTTATTTCCTTAAACCAATATATTTCCTTATTTACAATCTGCTTGGCTAGGATCTTCGGGAGTCTATTATCTGGTAGGGATAAAATTCTTATTATATAGTCGAAGTGTAGTTTCACAGTGTAGAGAAAAATTGGCAGGAGACCCGTCTCAGCATAGAGAAAAGCTGTGGGGGCGTACTGAGGCAGCCTGAACAGTCTCCTGATGAAAGACCGCAGAAACCCTTCTACCTGTCCAAGCATCTCTCCTCCCCAAACCTGAGCGCCGTAGCATAAAATAGACCTGCTGACTGTGTTAAATATTTTTAGCTTAGTCGGGTACGCAGTATCGCCGTTGTCTATAAGAGGTCTCCAGATAGAATTTAATCCCATCCTTGCTCTATCCACAGCATCCGCAACATGTTTGTTCATTGACAGAGCCGGCGTGAGTCGGATTCCCAGATACCTATATTCATTCACCACCTCTATCTCCTCAGTTTCTAAATACCACCTCTCACTTTTCGCAGGTCTACCCCCATTTCTGAACACCATAATCTTAGATTTATTCAGATTTATTCTTAAATTCCATCTGAGGCAGTACTGCTGTAAAGACCTGATCATTCCCTGTAAAGAGGCAGGGTGAGAGGCGAGTAAAACTATGTCATCTGCATACGCTAACAGCTTGATTCTGCCACTACCCTCCACACACACACCACCATCTAAGTATGTCTCCAAATCATTAATATATAATGAAAAAAGTGTTGGGCTGAGCAAACAGCCCTGCCTCACTCCCATTTCGGTATAAAATTTTCGAGAGATCCCATCCATACACCACACATTGGCAGATGTATTGCATAACAAATTTTTAATTGACTTTATTAATTTAGAAGTAAGACCAAGATCGTATAATTTACAGATAAGAGAATGTCGGTCAACACTGTCGAATGCAGACGTGAAATCGACAAAAAATGCGAATACTTTTTACCTCTTTATTCTAAGCTTCAATTTCACTAAATTCACTAGATTAAAAAAATTGTCCACGGCTGAGTAGTTCTGACGGAACCCAGCTTGCGATTCTGTAATTATGTTATCATTATTTATCCATTCATTAATCCTGTTTAAAAGCAAACCCGAATACAACTTGCCAACTGTGTTAATGAAGGAGATCCCTCTGTAGTTTGAGACTTCGTTTCTATTTCCTTTTTTATACAGTGGAAAGACTATACTTTCCTTAAAACTACAAGGTATATCCCCTCCATTAAATATTTCGTTAAAGGTGGATAACAGCATGCAGAGAAAATTGGGTGGAGCATGTTTAAAGAATTCAAATGGTATTCGATCTTTACCCGGTGCCTTATTGTCTTTAACTTTGTTTAATACCGATTGAAGCTCCTCTATTGTGAAAGGTCTATCTAAACTTTCATCTTCATACAGTGGTTCAACAAAGGACAGCCTTTTTACCAAGTTCGGGGGATTATATAAATTGCAAAAATAGTCGTACCACTGTCTCACAGAGATCTCACCTACAATCCAACTGTTGTACTTTTTCAATGTCCGCGCGGCCTCCCAAAATTCCCTACTCCGCCTCGCTCCATTTAAACGTTTAGCACAATTAATATAAAACTGTTTTCTTTTATTTTTACAAGTATTTTTATAGGCATCATTACATATTAAGTATAATAGTTTATCCTCTGCTTCGCCAGACTTTCTATACACTTTAAGCAAATCGAAGGATTTATCTCTGGCTAAACGACATTCTTTATCAAACCACTGTCTTTTTGTATGATAAGTAGGTCTACAGTTCTTATTATAATTTGATGCACTAATGACCGCTTTTGTTATAAAATTGACATGACTATTTACATCATCAGGATTATAACAGGTGTAGTTTACAATTTTCTCCAATTTCTGTTTATAAGTGTAAACGTTTTGTTTGTGCCAATTCATTTTTGGAAGAAGGGGAAGAACAAACTTGTCAGGGGGTGGCATATCCTGCAATTTAAAAGAAGCGATGATCGGCATATGATCAGAATGAATTTGAACATCTACTTTGAAGTCACTAACATAGGGTAGTAAATCTAAATCAATACACGCTAAATCTATCACCGAACTACCTGCACCCCCTACATAAGTGAATTCGCCATCAATATCACCCTCCATTCTGCCATTTAATATTACATAACCAAAATTATCAAGTATTTCCAATATCTTCTTTCCATTTGCATTTACCGTTACATCTTTGGAATTTCTGCTTGAGTTAATCAATTTATCATTACTAGTAAAGTATTTTTCTGGGATTTGCTGCCAGGTACCGATTCTAGCATTAAAATCTCCAATCATAACCACGTTTAAATCATTACCATCTGATACTAAGTTAAACAGTCTGTTGAAATGCGTACTCCATTTATTACAGTTTAAGTATACTGGGTAGATGTACATACAGAAATTATTTGTTTTAACATTTAACATATCTATGTTTTTAATTTTACAAAAAGAAATATACCTTGCTGCCACACTTCTTATATTAATGCCGTATAGACAGCCTCCCGACGCTCTCCCAAATTTAGCCTCTTTTGTTGCGGGGGTCCATAATAGCTGGAAATCTTGAAAAGTTGATGTATATTCCTCTTGATCCTTAGCCTCTATGAAGGTCTCAAAGAGGAGAATAATGTCGAAATTCTTGAGGTAGTTGAAGAAATTCTGTTCGTTTTTTTTTATTTTTCAAGCCATGAATGTTGTACGCCAATATATCCAAATCCGTGTCAACTGATGATTGCTATTTCTTTTTAGATGAATTTTTCCCTGCTGTGTTTGTGTTTTCGCTGGCATCCCCAGCACTGTCTCCCGAGGTACTAGGCGGCTTTGACGTTAGATTAATTTTTTGATTCCATGTAACATCTGATTTGGTTCTTTTATGTTCCTTAATGATTTTTGCGTTTGATTCATTACCAGATGGGGGTGAAATAGTTAATGGCCTTTTTTTAAGTTGATCGAACGTTTTGTTGCCTTCTTTAGTGGGGGACTCTCTAATTATCAACTTATCATATTTTAAAATTGCAAACTTTCCTTCTTTTCGCGCAGCATTCAATGCCGGACGTAGCGTTTTGCGTGTTTCAGCTACTTCTTTTGGGAAGTCTTCACCTATCGAAATATTCGTTCCTTTTAACTTGGAACTATTTTTTAGAATAAGTAATTTAGTGCGGAATTGTGTGAGACCAATTAAAATTGGCCTGGCTATGTCCTTCTTGCTCTTACCAATTCTTCTCACAAAGTCATAATCAGAGAGTGTTAGATTTAACTCCAGCTTCTTATTTACAAAGTCATGAACAAAGGTTTCTTGTTCCCAATAATCACTGAATTCATCCTGCACTCCAAAAATTATTAAATTTCTCTTTCTATCCTCCCTTTCCAAGTATCTCACTTTTGCGCTTACATTCTCGTATTTATTCTGGACATCAGTAATTGACTCTTTAATTTCCATAACTGTCAAGTTACGATTTCGTTCCATGTCAGTTTTTAATTCTTCCTTAAATTGAATTAAAAGTTCCATTAATTGACCTTGATCCATTTCTGTTCTCTGTATATTACGCCAAAGCAAGTTAAATGGATTTATATTTTTTAATGAGCAGATTAATCGCAAAGAGAACTCGGCACGAAAAGACAGAAGTAAAGATCGTTGGGTAGGATGTGTAATATTTGTAACCTGTTAACAGGTTAGGCGTGGCACCTGTTATAGTTGATAACGATAGCTCGCTGGGCCTCCCACTATCCGATTGTTCGTTCCTTATCTTTAAATCCTGCCTGAGAACGGCTGAATGTTCACTAGTAAAACTGTTAATTATTCAAACATCTTTTGTTTTGACCACCAAATTTTTACCGAAAAATAACGCACTGACACTGATTTACATGTATATGCAAAAAGCAATCTCCGCCACGTGCTTGTGACCACTTTTACAAGACTTTAAAACAGAGCAATACAAAAGCGTGCCGGCTCGTTCCAGTACTTATGGCAGACTCCGTGACATCAGAATAAGTTACATATTTTTTAAATATGTATTTTGATGCTATGACTGCTTTTGCGACAGTGGGTGAAGGTTATGGTTTGGGATTTTGTTATGTTGAGTTTGACTCGCCATTTTTTTGAAACATTATTCAAGAAAATGAACATACACAGGTTTCCAGGGTTCGGTGTGCTATGTATATTCTAAGTTTGAATAAAAAGGGAAACAAACTATTATGTTTGTTTTCTCTTGGTAAAGCCCTTTCTGTCTTTATTTCTTGAAAGAACCGGCAGGAAAACGTCCCAATTTCCTGGACTTGAAATAATCGAGTGTAGCTTCTGAAATCACAATAAGACAATTACCATAGGGAATTGTATGGAGACGAGCCCCTGCACAGAAAATTGACCGTAATTGACTATTGAATAATGAAATGGGAAAGGTCCGATTTTTACACGATTCTGTTCGACCGGACAAATTACGATTCCGCATTAAGAAACTGCATTCCACCCACGAAGAACCCCCAACCACGGGAATAAAACAATCCGTTATATCTTCCTGTCAATTTGCAAATAATTTCATTTGTGTATCGATCTATTAACATGTAAATAGGGAAGAATTAATTGAAAATATAAGAAAAATTCGTCTGCCTATAGGCAGAAGCAAACTGATACCACTGGCTGTTTTTAGCTTATTTCCAAATGCGCCAGCTCGAGAATTCGAGTAAAATAATGGAAATACAAATTCTGGTCCGACAATGGAAAGGCTAAAAGTTAAAAGGAGTCAGCTCTTAAGACCTAAGGAACTCATGAGCCTTCGCACCAACAGGGGACATGGTCGTACCAATATCTGCACCGTCTTTTTTCTGCTACTCCAAGACTACAGGCGTTCTTTTTAGATTTATTGAATTTGATAGAATTTTTCTTGAATTTCTTGAATCGACGTTATGAAAAAAAACTACATGTTTAATATTTTATTCTAGTTGCAAATTTTTACTTTTTGGGAGAAAAATTATGCAGGGTACCTCAGGCCCAGTTCAACTTTAAAATTTCAAATTCAACCCTATACTTCCTGACATATTGTTGACATTGTTTGCGCTGAAAACAATGGTGCAATCGGATTTTAAATTGTTCAAAAAATGACAAAGTTATGGCAAAAAGTTTGAAAAAATACATTCGTCGGTTTCGTCGTTCATTCAAATAATTTTCTTATTCACTAAAGTAATCCTTAATTGACTTTATTGTTTACATTTTGTCATTGTTTGTCAAACTCGCATTATGAGAGCAAGTCTGAATTGCTGGAAGTAAATAAATTTTGCAATAGTACGAATTAGTTACATTCGAAATGTGTGGTCCGACTATTTCCAAATGACATTCGAAGTCGACTGGACTCATCCGAACAAAATTTTAGAATCTCTCATTCCGTCTTCCTATCTCAGTGTCAAGAAGATCGTGCCATGCTTATTAGGCGATCCTCGAATATCTGAATCCACCAACGTGGTGGTTTTTTGTTAGTTCATTTTTTACTCAGAAGAGCTACAAATTGTACAGTGGTACTGCAATCCCCGAGAGCGCGGCCTCGTTCGACATGGCTCAAACTTAAACTAGATGCGGACACAATTTCCGGAGCAACAATATTGCGGGGCAAAGAGTCTGCGACATGTATCCGAGAGTCTGCGAAAGACAGTCCGAACAAAGAATTCCAGTGCGTACTAGGATTAACGTTCCTTGCACAAATGTCGACTTGGAAGGCTTAAGAAAACGTTTCCATACATCCTATGGACTGATGAATCAAAGT